TCTTTTTCCTTCTCCATTAATTATTTTTTATTCTTTTTTTTTTCTTTTTTTTTTCTTTTTTTCTTTCTTTTTCTTATACAGCAATAGATGGACAAGAAATAGTATATAAGAGTTATATAGATATATATGTATTATTTATTTATTTTTTCTTCTTTTTCTTATTAATAAGCAATAAACATATAATTAATTAATTAATTAATTAATTAATTCTTTTTCTTTTCTTTCTTTCTTTGTTTCTTCTTTTCTTATACAGCAATAGATGGGCAAGAAATAGTATATAAAAGTTATATAGATATAAGTGTTGCTGTTGCTTCTCCTACTGGTCTCCTTGTCCCTGTTATAAGAAATTGCCACCACAAGAATTGGCACCAATTAGAGCAGGTACGTACAGCTAGCTAGCTAGCTAGCTAGCTGAGTGGCTAGCTAGCTAGCTAGGTCTTAGCTAGCTAGCGAGGTCTTAGCTAGCTACATTCAGGGTAGCGGGGGAATTGCTGCTGCAGCTGTTTTTTTTATTTTTTTTTGTGGTCTTTGCGCGTCTTATTTATTTATTTATATTTATTTATATTTATTTATTTATTTATTTATTTATTTATTTATTTATTTATTTATTTATTTATTAAGGAATTAGTCCTATTAGCACAAAAGGCAAGAAATCAACAATTGGCGTTAGAAGATATGACGGGAGGAACATTCACTATCTCCAATGGTAATTCTCTCCTTTTTTTTTGTCTCTTTTTTTTCTCCTTTTTTTTGTCTCCTTTTTCTTCTTGTCTCCTTTTTTCTCCTTTTTTTTGTCTCCTTTTTTGTCTCCTTTTTTTATTCTCTCCTTTTTTGTCTCCTTTTTTTACTGTCTCCCTTTTTGTCTCCTTTTTTTATTGTCTCCTTTTTTTATTGTCTCCTTTTTTGGCTCCTTTTTTTATTGTCTCCTTTTTTCTCCTTTTTTAGTGTCTTTTTTTGCCTCCTTTTTTGTCTCCTTTTGTTATTGTCTCCTTTTTTTTGTCTCCTTGTTTGTCTCTTTTTTGTCTCCCTTTTTTATTGTCTCCTTTTTTGTCTCCCTTGTATGTGTCTCCTTTTTATTTATTTATTATATATATTATTATTGTCTTCTTTTTTTGTCTCCTTTTTATTCTTTTTGTCTTATTTATCTTTGCTGCTGCTGCTGCTGCTGCTGCTGCTGCTGCTGCTGTGCTGCAGGAGGTGTTTATGGCAGCATGATGGGGACACCAATCATAAACCCTCCACAGTCTGCTATCTTAGGTGCTGCTGCTGCTGCTGCTGCTGCTGTTGCTGCTGTTGCTGCTTCTGCTTCTATATCTTGCTGTCTAGTTGCTGCTGGTCTTGCACGTATTGCACATGCTGCACTTGCTGCACTTGCTGCTGCTGCTGCTGCTGCTGCTGCTAATTTGCTGCAGGCATGCATGCAGTGACGGAGAGGCCAGTTGTACGCGATGGACAAATCGTCATCCGCCCCATCATGTCTGTCCTCGCCTCCCTCCCCTCCTCCCTCCCCTCCCTCCCCCCCACCACC